ATTTGGGGCCTGCTTAAGAAGGGAAAAGTTGATGTGTTTCAAATAAATGACTGTTGAATATCTTGAAATGATGTACAGATTTTAATGTTTTCATATTTGTTGTACAGGAAATTTCAACACATGTCTATAATGTTTTTAATGGTTTGATTTGTTTTTAAGATATAAAATAACAATTAAAAAGCATCATCCTAGAGGATTTTCTGCCTTGTTTTTCCACTCTTGGGGTTTTCTTTTCAGTTCGTTTTGAATAAAATTAATTTGCCAAAAATACCTATTTAATTTAGAAAGGCTTCAGAATGGAAAAGAGTAGTTGGTTCCCATGCTCTGGTGGCACTTGAGTTGGATGTGTATTATGGTCACTGGAGCTCCTTGCAAGGGTGGTCATCTGACATTGAGACTTGCCTAGCAGGACCAGGGCCCAATGCTTATGTGTCCTGGCAGTTGGTGGTTTCTTTAGTTGAAGAGTTTGGTACCATTTAAAGGAACACTACCTTCATCCAAGGTCAATCCAAAGATTTCCACTTGCTGAAATAGCCTTGAGGGACAACTGGTGTTTCGAGGACTCTCTTACTTCCTGAAAATCAAGAGTGAGGACGGTTTGATCCCTGAAGGGGGTATTCTCTTGTCAAGGGGCAATGACACAGATACAGAAGTATCTCTGTAATGTTAAAACTAGCTTCTTGATTACAGATTACCTGACTGTAGATGCATATCAAATTACCTCAGTTAGGTCCTTTCTTCTAAAATTCTTATTTTCCATTCCTGGTTGCCAACTGCATCGCTCCCAAGAAGGATCACGTGCCTGGAGGGGGGTACTGGAACTCTCCAGTTCCTCACAAGGTGCTGACACTGTCTGTCTTGTGACAATCCTCCAGCATAACTGCTGCATTTTCCGAAATCACTGCATGGGAAAATGGGAAGAGCAAAGCATGACTGCTTCATCATCTTCTAGTGGGAGCTTGTGCCAGCCACATGATGATTGCTAGAATGCTCTTGAGGAGACTTGTGTTGCTGAAGGGAAGCTGTGATCATGAACCTCCCAGTGCAGGACCTGCAGCAGGTGACCACCACTGCCATGGGCAATCTGCCTCAATGAGACTTGTAGGGAAATTCCTCATGGTTTTTTTCTCGTTTGAAATAGTAGAACTTCAGTAAATGCCAGCTGTTCTGACTATCATTTGGAGTGTTAATCTGTTGAGGGTAGGTAGAGTTGAACCCATGTATCTAGAAATCACCTTCTGTACCTAGTCTTGTCAATTACTAATATTACTGCCCTTGAGACAAAAACTGGAGATTAGAGAGGAGAGGATGTAATGTTTCTGTCCTATTCTTTGCTTGATAAATGGGATGTAGTCAGAAATACTGCTGCCCTTGCATGCCCTTCCTGGCTGGGTGTTATCAGGCAGTTTGGAGATGAGCAGAAGTGGACATTGTTGCAGAAGAGGGTTAGAAATGAGAGCTTGGATGGGAAAAAATGTCAGAACTTTGCACACTCTGCATTTCTTAAGGACAAAGAAAAAGCATCTCAGTGATGGCAAAGATGCTAGGTACTAACAGCTCCTGGCTGATCTGAGTAAAAACTAATTTAAAAATGCAAAGGCAATCACTTTTGTCCAGGGGCAGAATGAGGGGCAAGCTAAGATCAACAGTTTACTTGTTCCTGAAGGTGGGTAAGTACAGTGTTCTCCTACATCTCATACCCACGGGAGAAGTTACAGTAATCTTATTTTTCCATTTGCTGCGGCTCTGTTGCAGGGAGTCCCTTTCAGCTCTTCACATAAGACTTCGTCTTGTTGCAATCTCTGGCTTTAAATTGTTTTATTTTCAGCACTGTGCAGAAGTGTTTGTGGAGTTGGTACCAAACAGTGTCTCCCTCCAGTGCTGTGCTTCGTTCCATTTGCCCTCCTTTGGGGCTGGGCAAACTCTTTGC